TTCCCACCTCTACGGTTTCAATTAGGCAAAGTTCGAGCTCCCTGGGTGTGAACACAGTGGTCCACTTCTCCATTCTCCTCAAATCTTCCCTGCTGTACAAACCATCAATTTTGATCGATTTGTACAGTCGGTGTAGCTTCACAAGAATACTAAGTTGAGAGCAATACCTTGGCCTCAGGAGGGATTTAAACTCGCTGTTCTACGTAAAGTCGAACTACCGCGAAATCTAGACAGCAGACAGTGAACCAGCTCTAATGTGCACGCAGTGGAGGAAGGTTTGTAGCCGTTCACTACAGTAATTTAATGAATGGAAACATTTAACTAGCATAATAAATCAAATTTCAAACAAAAATAACAATTTTCTGCTCAGAATGAACATGAAGTAATGCAGTAAGTCTGCTGACCCTAGAGACTAGTACACAGCGGTTTATCTTGATGAAGTGGACCTAATTCTGCATGCAGCATTCACGTTTACCACTCTTCAATTGGTTGCCCGATTGAGCAGAGAACAAATTTCAAATTCCATGTGATTCCTAAGGTACAAGGTAAGTAGGTTTTATAGTAAATTAAGGGATACTATAATTATTTCGAAGACCGTGTCGGGGGAATAAAGAGAGAGGGAAGATGATTTAGCCCCTCTTTTCCTTTCGGAATTGGTAAGGTAGGGCCGGACTAAAATGAGGACTACATGGGAACAGGAAGAAACGAATGATTCCATACCTATAATTGTGAAGCAGGTATTTCATTCCCTTTCTCAATAAACAATTCAAGTTTCACGAGCTCCCTAAAAATTCTCAAATATGTAACGTGTTAGGCCACAGAGTGATCCTGAATGTGGCTTCGAAATACTTTTGAATAGTTCAAATAAAAAGACTCATATAAAATAAACACATGAAATGGAAGGTTGATAAGGGTACGTTCCAGAAAGAAAATCAAGCAGAATATTCGCTTTTAGTGGTCATTGTAGCGCAGTAGACGCCAGCTCCACCTACCACACCTACACGATGAAATCCTGTGAAGTCAATGAGACCTCCCATTGAACAATGGCCTGTTGATAGGCATCGAAAGCTCTGTGGAAATGAGAACATTTAAGCTTTTCTTCCGCAGACACCACTAACTTCATATTAATTCATTTTCATTACTTCTATTTAAATCTTAATAATTTTGCAGTAGTAAGCACGACTTTTAGTATTATAACTCTCTGGACGAAACACCAACTTCCCTCTTCATAGGACCTTGGCATGTTGTTGGCTTGATGTTATTCTTGTGCCCACGGGGAGGGGGGGGGTAGGGTAGGGGTAGAATTTTTTGTTTCCCTTTTTCGAGTTTTCCATAGCATTCCGTCAAGAACGCCATAGAGAAGAGGCCTTTTGCAACCTTGGAGCCACATTTAGGCAAGCGAGAAAGAAGATCTGGTCAAAACAAAGGCCGACAACACATTTTCTACCTGAAAACCATTGGCACAAGGAGAACACTTAGCTCCCGATAATTTTTGTTCACGTCGGGACCTTGCTTGATACATCGCTTGTGGGTTAAAGGAAGTCAAATAGAATGAAACGGAGGCAACTGGGTTCACACTATTCTAAAGTGAAGAAGAATGCGTGGAGCATCCCAGAAGGTTTGGTCAACGTAGAGAAACGAACTACCAACAGATCAGACCGATTAGATGGAATGAATGTAAAATTCGGAACCAGCCAAAAACATTTGTCGTCCTTGTCGCCACTGAAAATCGCGCCAAAATCGTTTGACTCGCCCTCAAAGGCCTATTTTGCAGGGCCATTACACTTCACAATGGCTTTAGCTGGTCATCGAGCATCGGCCACATCAGAAACAACGAACTATTGCACATTGGAGGATTTTGCCTTTTGGAATATCGTAGTAGCAATGAAGTATTTGAATTCTAAGACCTGCATGCATTAGTCGAAGGTATCAATCTAGAAAAAAGATTTACAAAAAATATGAAGAAAAAACAGTTTTCGCAAAATTTCGAAAAATAAATAAAAAATAAAATAAAATAGAATGAGCGCCTTCTTTGGTCAAGCGCCCTAGCTAGCTGAGGCTGGTACTCAGGAGTCGCATACAGCAGTTGTATGCTGAAATGATGAAGTTATTCCTTGAAATCTTATTTGTTACTCAATCGGAACTGCTGAAAGAGAGCGGATTTGAACATGTGTGTATCTGTAAAAATAAAAACGTGCTAAAAGAGGGAAAAGTCCCGAAAAAATCAAAGAAATTCTCATTTCTGCTTTTGAAAGGTTGCATACGCCTCCAGAAGTCCTAAACAAGGAAATGTTGCCAAAGGATCCGAAGAAACTAGCGGTCAACGCTAACATTCCATGGTTTCCGCAGCATAGTACCCTAATCCATTGGGGTTGGACTAGGAAAGGGAAGTTGACAATGGCAGCCTTCGGTTTAGCGTTGCAACAACTCTACTAAGAGAGAGCGCCTCACCTGAAGTAGTGCTAACTTGGGTAATTTCTTCCACCCTTGGCTCATCCTGCACGGTTGCCAAGTTAGTCCTCTGGACCCATCGCGCTCGTGAAATGCACGTGCGTTTAACGCCTTCTTGTAAATCCATCTGTTCGCGGGAGAAATGAAAAAATGTATGAAAAAACAATTCACTGATGCATTGCCACCCGAAAACTGCACCGTCTCAATCTCCCAGTGCCCATATTGGGAAGCCCTACTCTAAATGCGGCCTATGTAGCCTCTCTTCTAATACTTGAGCCCTTCATTTGCGCGCCTAGTCCACCCCGGCATTTGAGAAGCGCTCAAAAATTTCAACCAAAGCT